GCCCTGCCCCGGGCAGCGTCGCTCCCAACTCTGCTTGGCTGCACCCTGCTGGGAGCGTGGGCTCTGAGCCTCTGAGCCTGGGCGGGGGTGTCCCTGCATGGGGTCCCCGTCACGCTCTCCACAGCCTTAGGCCGGGCAGCACTGCCCTTTGGGGGTGCTGCCCCCCCACACCTGCCTGGGGCCCGATAGGGAGGCCACTGGCTCGCACCTCACCCGCCCAACAGCTGCTCTTGAGCTTCAGTGATCCAGAGGGGCCGTGGGGGCCCCGCAGCTCCCCACACAGCCTGACTGGCCCCAGTTCTTTCAGCCCAGGGGCGGGCTGGGGCCCCAACACTTTCAGGATTGTCCCGCCAGCCCCAGCTCTGCCAGTCAGGCCCTGCACCCCCCACGGCTCGTGTCTGCAGGGCCCCTCCCACGTCCCTGCGGTCTGGAGCTGAGGGGAGGGGTCCCCCCAGCCGAGCGACGGGGTCCTGGAAGGGTGTGGGGGGCGGCCCTGGGGTGTGGCCCGGCTGCAGCTGTCCTCAGCGCAGGGCCTGGCGCCCCCAGAGGCAGCGGTGTCGCTTCCTGGGGCGGGTGTGTGACCCCAAACGGCTTCCGCAGCTCTTGGGGTGAGCTCACACTTCTTGGAAGGGTATTAATTGCTCACCACCTGCCATCCAGCACTGCAGCTTGCCTGCTTTTAGGTGCGGCTGGGGAGGCGCCTCCCCCCGCACCCCGGGGCCCACCGGCTGCAGAGCCCCCCTGCGGCCTGGCCCCCTGGCCCCATCCCCACGGTCCCCTCAGGTTTGCTGCGTCATGGGGATGTCGGGGCGTCCCTCCTCTCCCTAACGGCATGGTCGTACGCGGGTGGACAGCCACACACTGTTGCCCTGCGGTGTGGACGCTGCTGGGAATGGTCAGCCGCCGGGCAGGGGCTGGCCTCCAGAGCACCGTGTCAGTGAAACAGTCCTCCGTGTTCCCAGGACACCCCAGCTGGCCCCAACTCCATGGGGTGTCCACGTGGCCCGGCTTGTTCCATGGGTGGCCAGGAGGCCACGTCCGGGCTGCAGGTCCTGGGCCTGGCGGCATGACCGACCAGCGCTCCCTCCCAGCTGCCTCTCCCGCCCCGG